TGTGTGTGTGTGTGTGTGTGTGTGTGTGTGTGTGTGTGTGTGTGTGTAAAGATCTGCTCATACACACAAAGTGACAAGTTTACTATAAACTTTTTTTTCCCAAAGAGACAGGTAGGTTTCCTAGGCTATCCTGGCTAGCCTGAAACTATAGGGCTCAAGCATCTTCCTGAAAGCCCATCTTCCTAACTAAGTCATAAGTAGCTTGTACTACAGGCACAAGGCACAGTGTTTAGCTTAACACAGTAGCAAAAGGCAGGATAAAATAAACATGGAAACTGCTTCTCAATTCTACTGTTGACTAGCTATGTGACCTGTGAGGATACATTTTTTATTCTGTCTGATCCCATCTTTCACCAAAGTCAGAATGGAGGAAATGGTATCATGGAGTAAGAAGTTCGTGGCACAGAACCCTAGAATCTCTTACTGTTGGGAAGACAGGCAGCCAACAATGAAGAGTTCAACGGAGACTTCAGAATGCTAAATTGATGATGGAGGTAGAAGAACAAGAAATAAGAATCCTGCCAGGTAATTGGTGGCTCACTCCTTTAATCCCAGCACTCAGAGGCAGAGGCAGAGGCAGGTAGATCTCTGAGTTCAAGACCAGCCTGGTCTATAGAACAAGTTCCAGGACAGCCAGAACTACACAGAGAAACCTTGTCTCAAAAAAAAAAAAAAAAAAAAAAAAAAGGAAGAAAGAACTAAGAATCCTAGTTATCAGGAAACAGCTTTAGTGTTTGTCTCCACAGCCAAGGCCCAAGCTTTAATCCCTAACACCCAGACAACCTAAAACAAGACTAATCCTGAGTCAGGCAAAGGCCAGCATTAGGGGAGGTGCTCATAGGTAGGAAAGACTATGCCCTGAGATTACCTTCATTCCACAGCTCCTGCTCGATGTCCTGCAGCACAGCTAGGTCCAATGGCAATTCCAACTACAAGAGAGTGGAAGGCAGGGGGTAGCTCAGTGGAGGAGCAGCGCTTGCCTAGCATGCAAGAGCCTGGGTTTAATCCCTGAGCAAGACATAAGCAGAGGCAGAGCAGAGAGAAAGTGGTGTTTATATGTTCTATATGAAGCATTAATTGGCCACTGTGTCCCATGGGGATTTGTAACTGGAAGCTGCCTCAAAGACCCTAGATTTACCAGACAAAATTGGCCTAGTCCACATGCAGAATTTTCTGACAGTTTGGTAATGTGGCCAAGCTGAACTAACAACAAATGATCAAAGTACAACAGCACCAAATTTAAAGGAGACAGAATCAGCCATCGGTTAAGTAAATGTCCTAAGATTGACTGTGTGATAAAGTCTGGTCTTTGAAAAGCTGTTTTAGCTTTTGTTTTGTAAACCTGGAATAAGACCTACCTAAGAAGTCTACTGTAAGCACTAACTCTGGTGATGTTAAGCTAACCAATTAGCATACTGTAGGACACACAGATGCTACTGAAAATAAATCGTTATGATACAGTGCTTACAGTGCTTTGATGGCTTCAGAGGTTTTTATGTTTTGTTACATAATTCTCATAATGCTTGTGCTAGCGTCTCTATTTTATGTCAATGTAAAAGCTAAGGCTCACAGAAACACAGTAAACACAGTAAAAGTTGAGTCAGTAAAACTAAACTTAGAATTCCTAAACCCTGATGCCAACCCATAGCCTTTCCTGATACACTGGAAAGGGTTTTCTATGGACACACAACTCCAAACTCTGATCAACTAGAATCTAACCCATTCTTAGCAAGTCAAAATCTCCAATGGAAAAAGCAAGAATGAAATTTTCTTTCCCTTTAGTTTCCTAAGTTATTATATTACAAGGTTGAATCATGCCTGGTATGCATCTAGTACTGCAGAGCCATCAGTCAATATATTTTGAATAAAAACCCTGAGCCTGTTATAATTATGCATGGGGTCTGGGAAGTGGGCAGACTGAAAGGACCTGGATAAATGGGTACAAAGAGGTCACCACAAGTTCTTCATGGAAAAGCCCCCTAGCTACAGAGATCCTTGACTGACCTGAAGCAAGGGCTCTGGACAATTCTCTCCAGACTGCAAAAAAGTCCACTCTTCCTCCATTACTTCTTGCACAAGAAGTCTGTCTGAGGCTGTTCCCGGCGTGCTACCTGCAGCCTGGCGGTACTTGCTCAGGAGCCTGTGTCGGCTGTTTCTCATTCTCTCGAGACATCCCTGGGGAGAAGGGCAGTATTGTTTAAGAAGAAAAAGGTCAATTCCATTAAAAAAGAAAACCCTCCAATTAGTTGGTAAAAACATTAAAAAATTCTAGATGCAAAATTTCATATCCTCAAGTCCTTCTCCACACAGCGATGGGTAAAATTACAGTTCATGTATCTCCAGAGTCCTATGATTTCACATTTTATCTTGAATGAAGGCAGTTGAATGCATAGTAACTGTTTCCACAGACTAACTTCAGACATTCATATAGCTTCTAAATTCCTGCAACTGTCCATATACTAGCTATAGTAATGGTCTTCTTGTACAATAGTACTTTACAACCCTGAGATGGTGAGTTCTGTATATATGTGTATGCCTGTATGAGTTTATGTGCACCACACCAGTGCTGGTGCACATCAGGGCCAGAAAATGGTAACAGACCCCTTGGAACTGGAGTTATAGCCATCAGGTCTGCTTCGAAAGTGTTAGGTACTCTTAATGTTGAGCTATCTCTCCACCCCCAACTCGGGACAGTTTTGGTTCTCAAGTGGTTGTCACAGCTCTGTTTGAAGAACGGTTATTGACTGATGCCATTTAATGAGTAGGGAGACCAAGGATGCTGCATCTAAGTGTTCTACATTATACAGAACAACCTCCCACAACAGAACTGTCTCCTTCAGAATGTCAGCATTCACTGTTGAGAAACACTACTACACACAACATTTTCAGCATTGATTGTTTTTCTGGGTTGTTCTGGAATACACCCACCCTTTAGAGACTGCTGAACAGGGAGATAAGCTGCTTCTTAGAAGGAACTACTTGAGTTCAGAAGCCAGAGCTTAGGTTCAACTCTCCTAACAGTAACTGATGTTCTTCTGACTCTTCAGAAGAGAAATAACTTCTATCTCACACAACACAGACATGTGGAATGCTTCCCTCTGTAAGCCAACGTTAGGTGTTAGTGTTGCTACTGCTGTCATGATACTTAAACTATGAAACGAAGTCGAATCCTAGGAACAACACCTACTCCGGCCAAAAGTCCGGGCAGCAGCGGGCGGCGGCCAGTCCTAAAAAAGACTTGAGTTCAAGATCTACCTCGCTGGCCAGGCACATCGGGCACCTGCTCCACGACCAATGCTGAAGCGAGCACACAGAGGACAGAGGTTCTTGGGACAGATTAGGGAAGTGATTACGACCCAAACTTCACACTCACCTGCCTGAAAGTTTCTTTCCAGGGGGGCGAGCCCACCTGCTTGTACAACAAGCGGTGCGGAGACCCCGAAGGCTCTGCCATCTCATCCCTTAACTGGAGAGACGGCGCCCAAATCCCCGCCCCTTAGCCGCGCGCAAAGGATTCTGGAAGTTCTAGTTTCTAGGCGCAGACTGTATGTACTTCAGGCCGTAAGGCTTTCTTGGATCTGTCTCTAATTTCTATACCCTCACGGTGACAGATTTAGGGAAATCCGAGGATAGATGAAGCAGTGGCAGTTGAGAAGTAAACACCACCTGGGCTGAGGGAGAGAAAGTTCTGAGTTTACCCAGAGGAAGGTGTCCAGTAGACAATCAGATATACATCTCTGGTTGAACGCTACTACACACTGGCCAAGCTGTACCGCCAAAGCGGTCCCTAAACCGGCGAAGTGGCTGACTCCGCCCCGCCCAGCCTACTTTGGCGTCAACCTGCTGCCCTAGCTTTCCTCTGGCGATGCTTTCCTATTGGACCAACTCCTCGGGATTCCTACTCTCTGATAGGCTGAAACTGTGGAGTTCTGACCGTGGATTGGCTACGCACAGCAGCGGTCTGAGTTTACCCCGCCCCTCAATCGAAAGCTGCTAGTCCAAGATGGCGGCTGCCGTGGGGCCTGTGGGCGATGGGGAGCTATGGCAGAGCTGGCTGCCTAACCACGTCGTGTTCTTGCGGCTCCGCGAGGGCCTGAAAAACCAGAGTCTAGCCGAAACGGAGAAACCAGCGGCTTCGACTTCACCCTCGTGCCCGCCTCTACCGCCGCATTTGCCGCCGAGAAACCTGGTCTTCGGCCTCGGAGGGGAACTGTTCCTGTGGGACGCCGAAAGCAGCGCCTTTTTGGTGGTTCGCCTTCGAGGGCCCAGCGGTGGCGGCGTGGAGCCCCCTCTCTCCCAGTATCAGGTGCGCCAGTCCTTGAAAGCACTCAATCTTTTGGTTCGCTTCCCATCTTGGCTGTTTGTCTCTGTAGCTGCTGTGCTAGCGGACTTAGGCAGGCGTCTTTTGGGAACGCCCGTCTTTGGGTGGAAGGGTCCATCTTTCATATTTTTATTCCTCTGAACCAGGTTTATTGTCTCGGTCACTGTCAGACACTCAGGTGCTGGCGTTCTGAGTGTCTGGGAGAAAGGAGAGGGCCGTGAAATGATCGGTGTTCTGAAGAAAACAGCCCGATAAAAGTTTGGCCAAAAGAACCCCTGTTTAAAGATGTGGCTCAACCTTTTGGTTTATTGTGAGCTTTAAGACAGATTTAAAAGGACCAAATTACGTGCCTGACATGAAAAAGGGAGTCCTGTTTCTGCCTTTCGCTCCTTTGGATTCTCACTAACTGGTTCGTTTGCTGCCATGCTGGGAACTAAACACAAGCACACATGTAGCTTCCCCAGGAGAAGCACCGGAGTTCGAACTCTGAGCCAGGTTCTCAAACCTTTTTGGTATTGGCAAGCAAATGAATGGGATGTGAAAGTAGATGTGGTCAGAATGTATTCTAGACTTGCTGTGACCAATCATTGCTTTATTGAAGTGTTCGTTTGTGGTTCTCTCGTAAAGACATAAATAAGCCAGGAATGGTGACACAGGTCTTTAATCCCAGCACTCTGGTAGCAGAGGCAGGAAGATCTTTTTGAGTTTGAGGCCATCCTGGTCTAGATAGTGAGTTCAAGGACTACTTAACTTAAACCGTGTCTCAAAAAAAAAAAAAAAAGGAGAAGAAAAGAAGCTCAAGCAAACAAGAAAAACAAAAATGTGACATTCATTCTATAATGTATGAGATCTGCTCTGTGCCCTGAACCAGTTTCTTATTAGATTTGGTGCAAGGTGCAGCCAGAGGTCAACATCTACCTACTGTAAAATTCCATTAAGTGTCAGAAACTCAGATTATTTCAGTTGTTTCTTTTCTTTTGACTTTTAGAGAATGGTCCTACTGTGTAGCTCAAGCTGGTCTGGAATCACTATGTAGCCCAGGCTAGCCAGGAACTACTGCCCCAGTCTCTTGATTGTTGAGATTACGTCTAAGGGCAGTCTCCCCCCCAACCCCCTTGTGTGTGTCAGTCAGTGTCAGACAGACAGACAGACAGACGAGACAGAGACAAGAGTGTACGTGCCTGTATGTGACAATCCTACCAGACTGACCACAAGCTCCTGATCTTAAGCAGTGCTCTAGCCTGAGCCCACTGGAAACCTGGAAACCTGGATACAGCATGCTGTGTTCGGTTTCAGTTAATAGCAGTGTCATTGCTGGGTAGCATTCGATGCAGTAGTAATTACTTTAAAACTTTTATTGTATTATCTCATTTATAAACACCAAAACAGAGGCTCGGTCTATTTTATTTATTTTTTTATGTCCAGCACCTGACATAAACCTAGGGCATGCAAGAGCTCTGTAATATTTGTGACTTGCTTTGGTGTGTTTGTGGGGGTATGTTGAGACAGGGTTAACAGCCCTGGTTGTTTTGCAACTCACTCTGTAGAGCAGGCTGACCTCACTGACAGAGATCTGGAGGATTCTGATCAGAGCCTGAGCCATGCACTACCACTGCCCAGCTCTACAACAGGCATTTAAAGACACATGGGCCTACAGATACAAAAGCAAGTAGAAATATTATATTCAAAAGAAAGTCTTATTTAAAAAGATTTTGGCTTAGCATAATTCTCCACACTAAGGTAAATAATATATTGACAGTCTCATCATTATTTACTGAGAATAAAAAGAAATTTAAAATCTAAAATGGTCATGAAAAAGAAATAGGAAGTACCAGTGTGAGAGTATTTTTGAGGATATATGATGCTCTGACAAATTATTGAAACTCCCTTAAATTATCACTCTTTTATATTGAGTCCACATAGATGAAACGGTACTGCTTGTTGCAAAGCCCTTGAAGCAAATCTAGGGCCTTACTAGTAGCCTTGGGTGGCCTGGAACTCAAACAGAGCCACTTGCATCTTCTCCAGTGCTGGGAATAAAGGTGTGAACCGTTAAACTTGGCCTGAAGCTCTTCTTTACTCTGCAGTACTGTCTATAAGATGGTTATCTTTGAGTTTATTTATTTACTAGATAGCAAGAGTCTGCTTGATGCCAGGAACACAGAGAGAGAAGACAAATCTCAAGTATTGCCTGCTAGGTTATGTCAGGGAAAGTTGAGAAGAGCACTTAGACTGTTGAAGACCTATCCAGAGCTGTGTTGTGGAACTACAGAAAGCATGCCTTTGTTCTCTGGCCAAAAGATCAGGGGTAAATGCTCTCATTTTTAAAAGTTTTTGTTTTTTAATTCTCTGGGTATACATGTTTTCCTACAAATGAGTGAATATAACATCTGTGTGCCTGGTACGCACAGAAGCCAGTTGTTATAAAACCACCATGTAGGTGCTGGGAATTGAACCCAGATCCTCTGGAAGAGCTGCCCTATGTTTGTTATTTTCAGTTGTGTGTGTGTGCGTGTGTGTGTGTGTGTGCGTGCGTGTGAGAGAGAGAGAGAGAGAGAGAGAGAGAGAGAGAGAGAGAGAGAGAG